AGATTGCTAGAATAGATGAAGAAGGTTCCATATAATGTGATGCGCTAGTCATTCAGCAGCGGCTCGCACAGTGTGCAAACGTATACATGCAACGATATGCGCAAATCTGAGGCGTCACAGAGACATCGCTGCACTACTCACGTAAGCGATTATAGCTGAGTCCCAGACAAGTCGTGAACTACTCTAGCACACGAGGACAGCGAAGCCACCTGACGCACACACTGCAACTGCATCGGGTCTGCGCGTGGCGGCATGTGCACTCAACACCTCCACGCACAAACACAACGCGCGCGAGTCGAAACCAAACTACAACAATACATATGTACAAATTATGTGTATACCAACCATTGAAACCAACAGCTATCATACACATACACAATCCCTAAACACGGTGATTCGCAATACGTATCATAGGCATAACGTTGTAAATCGCTACCTGCACCTTTAAACATCTATAAGATTAGTTGCGAAAAAAATACATAATCAGAGTACACACGCGCAAGAAAACTGCTATAATCACGCGTAAATTTACACACATATGCACACAATGTTTGAAAAAAACTGCGCCAACAATGTGTAAATTATCTGCAAATCTGACACATTACCTACTCCAGCGCGTTGAAAATTTAAGAAAGTACAGCCGACAACACATACACTATTCACTAGTATCACATGAAAATACAATAAAATCAAATCAGAAAACAACATGCAACTGCTCGATTATACGCAAGTAGCACACAAATGTTAATGTGAAATAATGTTAGATTGAGGGTTGTAATTCACAACGGTACATAATTGCAAACTAATCTGCTGCAGTGAATACACGTGTCGCACGATAACATGCAACACAGCATCATGACGCGTCGCAGCGACCCGTGCGACAGATGATGGCGACGCGTCGCAACACACATTGCGACGCACAACGCGTGTGTTGCAGCTGGCCCTGCAACACGCGAGTGGATGAGTGGTGCGCGATGTGTTGCAGGCGGCGATGCAACAGGTGATCCGGGTGTGGTGTTGCAGCAGATCCTGCAACAGGTGTTGCATGATATACTGCAACAGGTGTTGCAGGGTGATCTGCAACATGTGTTGCAGGGTGATCTGCAACATGTCCGGGGAGGGTGGAGAGGGGCTAAATGGTGGTGGTGCGTTGCAACCTATATTGCAACAGTCGCACGGCGGTGGCGCGTTGCAGAGCACATTGCGACACGCGATGTGGTGAGTGTGTTGATATGACTGTTGCAGTCCAGATTGCAACGGTGGGTATGGAGGTGGGGTACGTGTTGCAGCAGATGCTGCGACGGATGTGGCTACCGTCGCAACTGACCATGCAACGCGTGATGCCGCGTGATCGCGAGTGGGCGTTGTTGCAGCCACTCGTGCGACACCCCCAGCACGTGTCGCAGACCAGCCTGCAACGTGCGGTGGGTGCCAGGTGTGCCGTTGCAGGGCTGCCTGCGACACAGCTAGGGCGGTTGGGGCTGTGGCTGTGGTGTCGGAGCTCGACGTCGCAACAGACGGTGCGACAGACAACAGATTTGTCGCACGATGATGTGCGACATTCGTGAGTCTGGTCATGCACCAGTGTTGCAGGCGAGGCTGCGACGACCATGGACGGAGATACGTAATCACACTGATTAGTATGCGCGACAAGCGTCGCAGCTGAGCGCGCGACAGGCGGACTGTCAGTCGCGCGATGGTGTGCGGCGTCTGTCAGTTGAAGTCAGGCGTTGCAGGCGTGGCTGCAACAGCCGATACGTGGTCGTATGTCAAAGTCGTGCGCGCGGCCTGGCGTCGCATGTGTGCATGGGGATGATGCACGCGGTGTTGCAACGCGCTGGCAGCATGAGGCGTCGTCACGCGGCACTGTGAGACGCTACACAAGCTGACGTCACGGTTGGAATGTCAGTCGCGCGGCGGCGTGCGACGCTGATGCATGAGCCGATATGTGTTGCACAGAGTAACATAACGCACATGATCGTTGCTACAAGAATCATGATATATTGATGTATGTGGGATGTATGTGATATTATCTGACAGTGCGCTTCCTATATCTTGCACAGGCGCGTCATGTGTTACATTGCTGCATGTGTGAACTGTGTGATATTGTGCGTGTGAATCGTGGATGCGCACTGGGTGTTCATGTGCTGGTTCGTTTGGCATATACGTAATATATTTGAATTTTGTGATTCGGCGCATGATCCGAGAATGGCATGCAGGCATGCATTGGGCAGTGTAATCGAGAGTGCACGCGCCTGAAGTATGGTTGAACTCATCCGTGCATCATCACTTAGATGGCAACACAACCATTTAGTACATCGTAAATGGTATGGTATTTGAATCAATTGAATGATACAGGTTGCACTGATTGTGTGATTATGGTGGTGAATCGTCTTACTGCGAGCCTGGTGTGCAACGTGTTGCGATTAGTTCCTGTGTGATTCGTTCAACAAATGCATCGCTTGTTTGGTATATGCTGTGCTCAAGACTCCCCATGCTGCCCATGCTGCTGCGGTTCAAGCATGGTTGCATATATGCAAGCAGCACTCGTGCGTTTGTCTCAGTGAGTGGTGATTGGTTCAATCATGCTTTTCAGATGCTGCGATGCTGCGTGACAGTGCGTGGAACGGTGGAAGGGGAGGCCGTCGGTTGCCCAAAAGCCAGACTGCTGCTGCTGTACCTCTCCTTGACCACGCAGCTGTTGGATGCGGTGCGCGCCTCGCAAACATTGGATTGCCATCGTGGTCAATCGCGTCAATCGCAAGATGCGTTGTCATGGTGGTCCCAGCATGCCAGTATGATCCAATGCGTCAGTGTGCCAGCTAGGTATTACAATTGCGATGCACTAGCAGTTGGGCATGCGCATGTAGCCGCCTCGATGTCACCACACAATATCACAACGCGCTTATCCCCCATATCCCCCTATCCCCCCCAACATATGGCACACGTGCGTCAGGTATTGCTCATTGTTGTCACTTGATCAAATGGGGCTGCACCGCGCAGACGCGTTTCATATTTCCTGCGCACGATGTGCTATTCAACGCAGTACATGCGATATATTGTATCGTATACATACCTACATACCTACAACCTATTCACACGTGAACATTGTGCGCGTAAGATGTTGTTCGCACTACAGCACATGTGCAGAAGTAGCTGCGTAATTATGTCACTATGTCACTATGTCTCCTCCCCCCCTCCTCCTCCTCCTCCTTCTCTCCTTTTCCTCCTCCTTCTCCTCCTCCTCTCCTCCTCCTCCTATTCCCCCCTCCTCTTCACCGAGCCAGCTTGGCGCGGTCGCGCATTGGTCGGCGGGCTGGGCAGTCAGCCCCAGCACTGAAGGCCTGGGGGCTTACGGATCACACGGATCACGCGTCCAGCCCATGCGCACATGGACATGGTGCGACGTATCACAGCGTCCCTTGGGCAACTTGGGCATCACCGCATCACCTCCGATTCACCTCCCGGGCCCCTCCCCCTGGACGATCTCGACGATGCGACGATGCGACGGCGATGGCGGTTGCGATGGCAATGCGACGATGCAACGATGACGCGATGCCGACGCGACGAAGACGAGATGACGATAACACGATAACTACGATAGCAACGACAGCAACGACGATGCGATGATATGATGGCACGATTGTTTTTTTTTTTATTTTGTACGACGACTACGATAACACATGTGGACCATGTGGACCATGTGGAGCATGTGGTCGCTGTCACCACATATCGACCACATATTATATACCAGTATCCTAACCTAAACCTACTGTCGTCTAAGTTGTCTAATGTACTAGTATCCCTAGTATCCTAGTACGCGTCTACGCATACGTCTACTTTACGCATGCGCATGCGACGCATGCGAGATTCCTACATTCCTACTGGTCGGTCGTCCTTACCTTACCCTGAATTCAACGCTGCACGAGTGCACGAGTGGTGGAGGCTGTTGGCGGGAGGGAGGGAGGGAGGGAGGGAGGGAGGGAGGAGGGAGGCGTGTTCGCGGGGGCTGGCCGACGACGCCTGTCCGCCACCGGCCACGGAAGACTACAGCGGAGAAAGGTCTCGGACGCGAGATTAATCAGCAGCCTCATAGGACTGCAACTGGCAAACAGGCATGCACACACGCACGCGCACTCCCGCACTCCCGCACGCGCACTGAAGAAAGTTCTGCCGCAGCGGTGTAGCTGGGCAGCTGGGCAGCTGGCCACAAAGGCCACAAACAGCAAATCAAACAACTAAACGCACACCGCCGCGCCAACTCTACAAAAGCCGATCCTGGTTAAGACGGCGCCCGAGATGCGCCTTCAACTCAGGAGTGATGCGCCCCAAGCTAGAAAAAAGCCTGTCCTTGTAGACTGGCCGGCACTCGTGGCACACGTAGGTGACCCTGATAGAAAGGGGCGCTGCTGCATTCAACTCTGCGATCGTTGCGGGCTGAAGCCCGCCTTTCCCTTGCCTCGCGACCACGGTCTCCTCGCATATGTCGCAGACCACAAACTTGCCTGGGGTCGGATTGTACAGGTCTTTCATGTGCCGCGTCGACGCCACCGAACGGACGTTGACCACATTCGACCACGAGACGTGGCGGGAAAGCGGCCCATAATGATTCTCAGGTCGTTTGCTCGGCAAGCAGGAGAGGAGCGCGGGCTCCCGACAGATCCGCCGCCGCATTCGAGCGGCCGATCGGCAGGAGGGCGCGAATCTGAGTCGCAATGGGAACGGATGGGCCAGGTAGGGGGGTAGGACGTCAGACGTGGTGCGAGCGCGCCTAGCTCGCCTCTCTCCTCTGTGCTATGGTTCCTGCGAGTACTACCCTCCCCGTCGGCCCGTCGCGCCCTCCCCGTCGGACCGCCGGGCCGTCGGCCCCCGCCCCGAACCCCCCTTCCCGACGCACCCAGACCCCACAGCCCAAATGCCCCCTCCGCTCGAGCGCGGCGGCGGGGTCGCGCGGCAGCGCAGTCGGCTGACAGCGCTGACAGCAGAGCCCGACGAACTCGATGACGCGGCCGTCGACACCACGGCGCCCTCTCAGGTGGGAGGCGACGAGAGCTACGCGTGCATACTGGCCATGGCAGGGCCCCTGCTGGGCCGGGGCCCCAAGGATCGTCGCGCGCGCCGATCCCGGGCATCCTGGGACCCTGGGGCAGCCTGGGGCCTTGGGGCCATGACGAACGGATGGGCCTGACCAGAGCTGGTGCATACGTATACGTCGTTTATTTGTGTATACAGAAACATGTATATATATACACACAAACAGTCGGACCTATACCAGAAAAACACCCCTCAAGAACATATCCTCCGTTGACCGCAACGTCGCAACGCCCCAGGACCCGTGGGCCCACCCCCGCAGACCCCCAGCCCCAAGGATGCACGAGAACACCCAGCAAACATGAAGGACACTCGGTGACTAGGCGATCCTCCCCGATACGACCTCGATGTTATACGTCGGTCCGACTGTGCGTATATACATACATATGTATACATCGTCGCTTCCGCCGTGTCCTGCGGCGACGCGGAGCAGGCCGCGGCCGCGGCCGCCGCGCCCGCGGCGCCCGCGGTGGAGTCGCCGTCGTCGTAGTCCTCGTCCTCGACGCCCTCGTCAGATGATGGGGGCGCGCTGGTGGAGACGTCCTGAACGTCAGCCTGAACGTGCTCGATCTGGCCGCACTCGTCGCCGAGCTCGGCGCCGATCTCGCCGACGAGCTTGTCACTGATGTCGTCGCCGTACTCGTCGCCGACGTCGCCGATGTCGCTGCCGCGCTCGTCACCGATCTCGTCGAGCATGTCGCCGATGTTGTCGCCGATCTCGCCGACGAGCTTGTCGCCGATGTCGTCGCCGCACTCGCCGCCGATGTCGGCGCCGATGTCGTCGCCGCGCTCGTCGCCGATGTCGTCGCCGCACTCGTCGCCGAGCTCGGCGCCAATGTCGTCGCCGCACTCGTCGCCGAGCTCGGCGCCGATCTCGCCGATGTCGTCACCGTACTCGCCGAGCTCGTCGCCGATGTCGGCACCGATCTCGCCGAGCTCGTCGCCGATGTCGTCGCCGCACTCGCCGTACTCGCCGAACTCGTCGCCGATGTCGGCGCCGATCTCGCCGTCGCCGATCTCGCCGTAGCCGATCTCGCCGTGCTCGCCGATGTCGTCGCCGATCTCGCCGTCTTCGTCGCCGAGCGCGGCCTCGAACTCCCTGGCGTTCTGCCACATCTCCTCAACCGCTGCGGCGACTGCAGCCATCTGCGAGAAACATGTGGGCCCAGACAACGCGGGCGCGACTGTCTGGGTTGCCCTGGGGGCCTTGGGAGACCGCGACCGGATCTCTGCCCGATCCATCTGGCTCAAATCGAGCCAGACTCGATGGCCTCGATGGCTCGAGCTTGCGCCAAAACGGCTACGGAATGAAGGAATATCACCCCCTTCGTCCCCTTCGTATCATGGCAGGGTATCGGGGTATCGGTACATCGGTATATATCAAAATGTAAGTACATCTGGATGTATCGATATATCGGGCTCTATCGGGCTATCGGGCTATCGGGCCATCGGGGACACGTGAGACACGTGAGACACGTGAGAACGTGAGACTCGGATTCGGGGAATTCGGTTTGGCCTGGCGGCCTGGCGGGGCCATCGCCCATCATGAAAATGACGACGCCAAGAGGCCCAGTCTGGAAGCTGCAAACATCCAAGAAAACTGGGCCTTCGAAATCCAAGACGCGCTCGTCACAGGGTCAAAACAGACAAAACCCCGCGCAGTCGAGTCGCACGGCCCCGCGCTTCCCCGACCCTCCGGCGTTCCAACGGGGGCTCGCCGGGCTCGCCCGCGCGATGCTTCCCACGCGAAACAACCCTAGCCTGTGAAGGATCAGCGCGTTCCCTGCGCATATTGCCACGGGCCTGGAAAGGGCAAGGGGCCGGGCGCAGAAACAATTCCCCCGACTCCCCGACTCCCGACCCCCCTGATGTCGACGTCAGCATAATTTTCTCGTTTCCTTATGGTGGGATTGTGATATCTGAATCTGGGTATCTGGTTAGGCGGTTAGGCCACTGGTTAGGAGGTTCGGACGTTAGGATTTGCCATGTACGCGGCACGAAAACAATGACGCCTTCACGCCTGCACTAGGGGGCGGCACTCCGGCACTCGGAGAGGGCGGGGGGGGGGGGGCTGTTCAGACGGCAGGGGCGTCCTGAGAGGATTCTGGAGGCTTTTGAAAAGCCTTCTCGCCTTTTCGGCCAGTTCTGAGCCCATCTGCGAATCTGCGAATGCGTACCAAACTGCCCCAACAAAAAAACTCAATGTTAATGTGCGCAATGTGCAAATATCAACACATCAGCATCGGAGCACCTGGACAAGAAAACAGCAGCTCAGAACGCGCCAAGCCCAACTCGCAACAGAGCCAAGCGTTTTCTAGTAGACGTGAACGGGGAGACGGGGGAAGGGCAGAAGCAGTTGGCATAGTGAGGATTTGGTGACCTGTTGATGACGCACTCACGCGCGTGCTCTGCCTGGTATCGATGTCGAGATGTCGATCACAATTTCTGACATTTAAGACTACGCTGCAGCACTGCAGCACTTCGATTCACACGATTTGTCACATTGTCATCAGCGGCCCAGCGGTCCTGCACCGCCCGAGCCCATGCAATCAGCCAAACAATGCAGCGCACAATGGGCACGTGGCTGGCCCGATAAACAGCTCCGGCAGTAGTCCCACCTGAACAGTTGGCCGCATGTCTCTGACGATCTGCGCCGACACGAATGCATTCAAGCTGCTGGCGCAGAATGGGTGCCAGGATAGTAAGCACACGCTGCAAGTAACCACATGTTTCAGGCTAGGTTGAGCCGCGTCAACGATTCCTACTTTGCACAGCTCACATGCGGACCGCTCCATGCACTCCACATCACATAAGCCCTGAGAAACCGACAATGCATTCTCCCACATGCGTATAATTCTCAACACTACAGGCGGCACATTGTCTCGACAATCTCTGGCTTTAATCATACGAATGCCGATCGTGTTCATGATCACATGTTTCACGCTACCCGCCCAGGAACGATCCTTGTCCACCCCCTGTGGGACCACGTAACATGGCCGCATCGCCGCGCCATGCTTCTCCATGCCAGGGGATCGACCGAACATGGTGGCGGGGTTGGTGAAATGCAGCAGGCGAACACTCCTCGACTCATCTTCCTCCCCGCCCCCGCCGAGCGACACGTCAACCAACGCGAGGTCGAACGGCGGTTTGGCTGACCCGCCCAGCGGCCGATCGAGGGAATCACGGCGGCTCTGCAGAGCGGCGGCCCCCGCCGTTGTTGCAACCTGCCACTGCGCGAACGATGCAGAGCGCGCGTCGGCATGGTCAACGCAGCTCGCACAATACGCATGCAACTCATCTGGAGAAAGTGCGTCGCCGCCTCCGCCAGACCCCTCGGCGCCGCCACCGCCCGACGCAGACGACGCTCCACCGTCTCCGCTCAACCCCGCTGCCGCTGCCGCTGCTGCCTCTGCCTTTGCAACTGCGCTGCTGAGCTCGGCGTGCCCGATGATCGCGTCGACCTGCAACTCAGCGGGGTCGGCGGCGTATCCAGGCTGCTCCTCTGGGACACGACGCGGCGGCGAGTCGCCGGTCGCCCCCCCGCCCCCCCGCGCCCGCCCCGCGCCCCCAAGCCCCCGAGCCCCTGTCCCAACTGGGGGGCCCTGCCCTAAGGCCCAGGGGCCCAAGGAGATGGGGAGGAAGCGAAAGGGCGAAAGGGGGGAAGGGGGGAAGGGGGGAAGGGGGGGGCGGGCGGGCGGGAAGGGGGAGGGGAGGGGGGGGCGGACCGCCGCGGCGCTACGGGGCCAGGCGCGACGCCATGGGCGCAACTGCCATGACCCCCATGGCCCATGGCCCCATGGCCCCATGGCCCCATGGCCCAGGGCCCAGGGCCCCCCAGGACCCCAGGAACCCAAACCCCCAGACCCCCAGACCCCCAGACCCCCAGACTTCCAGACTTCCAGACCGACATCCCAGGTCAAGGCACCAAGACGACCCAGACCTCAGACCTCAGACACCCAAACACCCAAACACCCAAACACCCAAACACCCAGACCCCCAGAACCCCAGACCCCCAGACCCCCCAGACCCCCAGACCCCCAGACCCCCAGACCCGACCCCCCGACCCCGACCCCCCGACCCCCAGCCCCGAAACCCCGAGACGCCCCAAGACCCCCAGGCCCCCAGGCCCCCAGACCCCAAGCTCCCAAGCTAGATACGAGATCGGGGGATGGGTGGATGGTTTCCGAAGATTTTAATTCCTTGAGCAAGTCGTCGCACGCTCGTTCAATCTCAGCTGCTGCGGCTGCTGCGGCTGCTGCTGCTGCTGCTGCTGCTACGTGATCGCCCGGCCGCTCTGGCCCCTCTGGCCCGTCGTCCTCCTCAGTGTGGAGACCGAATGATGGGCTGTGCAGCGCAGCCGCAGTCGTATCAATTTTCTCATCATGTGCCACTGCTGCAGCCACAGCATCATCATCGTGCGACATAGAGGACGCGTCGATGCCGGCCATGAGCTCACTAGCTAATTCATGCAAGAGGTCATGATCAATGGCGTCGGCGGCGTCGGCGTCTGCGTCGGCTGCGTCGGCGGCCTCGGCGGCGTCGGCGTCGGCGGTCTCGGCGCCGCCGGCGGTGCGAGGTACCTTCTTCTTCCCTGGCACGGACGTCTTGATGGAGACGTTCTTGGGCAGCGCCTGCCTGGCGGCAACTGGCAGGCGCGCGACAGATTGAGGGGCGGGGGGTGGAGGAGTGGAGGGGTGGAGTGGAAGAGTGGAGGAGTGGAAGAGTCAAGAGCGGAGGAGTGGAGAGCGGAGGAGTGGAGGAGTGGAGGAGTGGAGTGGAGGAGTGGAGGAGTCCAGGAGCCCAGTGGAGGAGTGGAGGAGTCCAATGGAGGAGATGGAGGAGAGGAGGAGAGGAGGAGAGGAGGGGAGGAGGAGAGGAGAGAGGAGGAGAGGAGTCGAGAGGAGGTGGAGAGGTGGAGAGGGTGGAGAGGTGGAGGAGTGGAGGAGTGGAGGAGTGGAGGAGTGGAGGAGTGGAGGGAGGAGGGGAGGAGTGGAGGAGG